TCCACAAAAGCAGAGGAACCGGAGGAAACCCACACTAACCTTCTTGCTGTGAGGCAACAGCACTACCTAATGCGCCACTGCGTCGCCCCTTCAATAAAAACTTAATTGACGAAAAACATAATAATAATAAAAAATACCCTAATAAAGGTTAAAACAACCCAATTTGTTAAAAAAAAAAAAACATTGTGTTATAGCTTAAAGAAAACTTTAAAACGCAAAAACATTACGCACGCATACAGCTGTTCTGTGTCAGTTGAATCAGTTGACAGTTGAAATTACAAATTTTTAACCCAACTGGTTGAGTTATTAAACAAATAACATAATAATGGGTAAAAATAACCCAACAATGCACCAAATATTTAACCCAATAACCCAATTGGTTGAGTTATTAATAAATAACCCATCAAAGCACCAAATATTTAACCCAATTGGTTGAGTTATTAATAAATAACCCAATAAATAATAAATAATTATAACCCAATTAAGATATAAATTAATAAATAACCCAATAAAGGTTCAAAATAACCCATCAAAGCACCAAATATTTTTAACTCAACCATTGGGTTAAATAAATAACTCAATGTTTTCTAGAGTGTATATATATACTCACCGGCCACTTTATTCTTATTAACGCAAATTTCTAATCAGCCAAGCACATTGTAACAACTTAACACATTTAGGCATGTAGACATGGTCAGAATAAGGATGAAAGGTAATTTAAGTGATTTTGAACGTGGCATGGTTGTTGGTGCCAGACAGGCAGATTTGAGTATTTCAGAAAACTGCTGATCTACTGGGATTTTCATGCACAACCATCTCTAGGGTTTACAGAGAATGGTCTGAAAAAGAGAAAATATCCAGTGAGCGGCAGCTCTGTGGGCACAAATGCCTTGTTGATGCCAGAGGTCAGAGGAGAATGGCCAGACTGGTTCCAGCTGATAGAAAGGCAACAGTAACTCAAAGAACCATCATCTCTGACTAGTTTCTTGAACATGCCAATGAGTTCACTGTACTCAAATGGCCTCCACAGTCACCAGATCTCAATTTAATAATAGAGCACCTTCGGGATGTGGTGGAACGGGAGATTCGCATCATGGACGTGCAGCCGACAAATCTGCAGCAACTACATGATGCTATCATGTCAATATTTACCAAAATCTCAGCACCTTGTTGAATCTATGCCACGAAGGATTAAGGCAGTTCTGAAGCCAAAAGATGGTCCAACCCGGTACTAATAAGGTGTACCACATAAAAATACACCTTAATAGTAATAATTCTTATAATAATTTTAACGCCTGTGAATCTAATTTAGTTTTTTTCTTTGTGCATTAAAATGATTGTTTTATTAGATTTTTTTTTGCAATAAAACATAATAATGGCTCTGAAACATTTTTATCACGATTTACAGAAGATTAACCCACTGAAGTGCCATGTAAAATGTCATGGCACCAACAAAAAAAAATCTTGTCATTGATATTTGGAACAAAAAAACTCTTGAATACATATTAAACAACTATGTAAGGCTAGCAGTGCAGCCCCAAAATGACATTTCATCAGAAATTCTACTTTGCCGCCATCCTTCAGAGCTCTATGTTTTGCCTATTTGACATTAAAGAAAGGGTTCATTTTAATTATTAATAAGAATGTTCTTTTTCAAATTTATTTCAAATATATTTCACAAAGTACAGGGAAGAAGTTATATTTTGCTTTATTTCTATATAACGTCACCTCAGAATTATAAGGTATCTGACATTTTTGTCAAAATTGAGTTATTGACATATTCTTATTAAATGACAACTTATTTACATTATGGGATGTTTTTTTTACAAGTTGTACATTTTATTCATTCATTCATTTTCTCGTCGGCTTAGTCCCTTTATTAATCTGGGGTCGCCACAGCGGAATGAACCGCCAACTTATCCAGCAAGTTTTTTTACTCAGCTTCCAGCTGCAACCCATCTCTGGGAAATGTTTACATTTGAAAACTTTAAAAAAAAACAAAAACAAATGTTACACACACACACACGCACGCACGCACGCACACACACACACACACACACACACACACACACACACACACACACACACACACACAGAGTTTGCTATGGAATGCAAACACTGTGAAGCTCAATATCTCAAAATCATTCAGAACACAGATACAACCTTATAATTCCAAGGTGACCATAAACACACTGTATTTGTAAACACTCTTATATGATTCAGACACCAGAATGACTCCATAGTTAATTTAGTCAATTGAATCAACTTTGCAGCATATTGTGGGTGATTAGTTAAAATAATAATAACAACAATAAAACAAATGTTTTCCATTTTCATTGATTGATTATTGGTAACAAATATTGTTTTAGTTTTATAACTAAAAGTGGCTTAACACAGCATGAAACACCCAGAATGAAACCAAACAAAAAGATTTAGGTGTTCTAAAAGAAAAAAAAAGTGAATTTATATTATGTCAAAATACCCTGAAGCATGTGAGAATTACTTTATATTGCATACACCCTTCCAAAAACTGTGAATATTCCAAAATGGGTGGTTTGTGGCTATGCAAAAGAAGAACCATTTTCATTTTCCCCAAAGAACCTTATAGTTCTTGAAAGAACTTATGTAATTTAAAGCTATTTGATGTTCAATGTTCTTCAGATATTCCACTGAATAACCTTTGTGTATTTTTTTATAAAAACAATGAGCACTCTCTAGTGGTCATCTGTGGTAGTTTTCCTCATTCTCCATCTCATTATCCACAGCTGTGCAAATCACCACAACCGAAAGACCAACATGGCACTGACCTCGACAGAGATCACACGGTTAAATTAAACATGTCATGTTATTTTATTGTCTTAAAAAGTTACACAATCCCCAAGGGAGGGATTTAGTACACTAAAACATTTAACAGCACAACTGCACAAACGGGGAGTTTTTTAAATATTATAGACTTTACCCAAAAAATCCCCCTTGTAGGTTTTTATACTCAGCTTGACAGATAGCCATCTCTTACAGAATGACGTAATGTCACAATAAGGAGAACAATGTTATTGAGAACCATAAGAAATCCATCATGTTTAGGGAAGACATTTCATGGACTATCAGTATTTCGTATGAAATATGTTCAATATAAACAGAACATCCGTTTGGATGATTTTTTTTTCCCTTCCTTTTTCTTTTTACAGTCACCAGAGAACAGGCATTAGTGCAAAAATGGTAGAAGAAGGTAGTCCTGGCTGCAGTTTATCCGTTTATTGGAGAGCGTGACATTTTACAGTCCTCTAGAACTCGTACGCGGATGAATATGACAAACGTTCACTAAACCGAGCGGTGAACGTCACTGCACAAAAGAAAAGACTTAGAATTTAACCATAACTTATTTTTAAAAAATGAACTTACAAACAATTGATTCTGGAATGCTGGGACAAAACATGCCACAGAACTTCAGCGTGTATTAACTAATGAATGCTTGTTTGTGGTTGGCTCTAAAGTGTGCAATTATTTTTAGGGAACCGCATTACAGTTTCATATCTCTACGCTCACTGATTTAAGTTACAGCCAACAACAGAAGGGTTTCAATGAGACGTGTAAGAACTAGTCCTTTACACAAAAACCTAATAATTGTCTTTAAATACAACATCTGAATAGTGTATTTATGTCTGGTAATATAATACATTTAATAATATACTGCAGCCTGTTAGATTATACAAAAATAGTGCGCAATTGAAGTGTAACGACATGAGACAGCCAAACAAATTCAAGAAAGAGCGGTTTCCGGTTCACAGAAGAAAAGCGCAAAACATCAGTTCACCATCAAAAAGTAAGATAATACTTTAGTGGTGAAACATTTAGTATATGACTGCTGTTTTTAGGATAGACAACCGATAGTCAGGGGCTGACTAAACCAATAAGCGAGGTAAGCTGCCGCTTAGGGCCCTCAAATCACTAAGTCCACCCCTGCCGATTTTTGATGCCAGCAACTAGTTTTAATGTTGATGTTTTGAATGAAAAATATGCTCACAATTAC